ACAATGTAGTCATATATTTTTGTTTTATTACAACGATTATATATATTTTTTATTTGACTTTGTTCATGATATTCATATATATAGTCGCTCAGTTTCTTCATAATTCTTGCATAATGTAATAGATTATGATGTTTAGATTTAAAAATTTAAATGCAATATTTATTAATTTGTTATGTAAAGATAAATATTTAGAAACAGCGAGATAAAATAAAGCAATACATTTAAAAGTTAACAAATGTGAGCATGAGATATTTACAATCTTCTTTAGAAGCAAGTATAATTGCCAAATTAAATTATTTTCCAGTATAAAATCACTAATCATTAATGACAAATTATTGATTAACGTTAACTAACGTTGACTAACGTTAGATTTAATATTTTAGATTTAAAATTTTCAAGAGAAAAGTTATAATTTTCTTTTTTATTTAATATAGGTTCTAAACTTGCAGCATAAACGTTTATTGGCTCTATTCTTTCAACTAGATTTACATTCTGAGAACTTGTTGCTTTAATTATCGATTCATTTAACGACTTGGATTCTTTTTCGTTTTACATCCTTTATCTGATTTAATATCATGGGCTATATATATGATGAAGTAGTGAATAAACAGTATTATATGATTTCATGCAATTCCAAATGTTACATTTAGTTTCTGAATATAATTGATCAACACGTTTAAGTTTAATGTGGCATTTGAGATATGTGAAATAAGAGAAAATCTAATTACAAACCATACAATTAAACATTTTGGATATAAAAGTAATTATGATATTAATGTATATATTTTTAATATTTAGTTTTGGCAGAAAATAATTTTTTTTTAGAAATGCTAATTTGTATTAAATTTATGAATTGCATGTATGTCATATATTATATTGTATAAATTATATAAATAAAAGTAAGTTATGAACTATATCTAAAGTTATGAATTATATCATAAAATTAAAATCAAAGTTATTTGTCATTTTCTTTTAATGTGGAGTAAAAAAATAAGTTTCGAATTAGAAGAGAGAACAGCCAATTCAGTATAACAGACAGACTTACAAAATCTGGGATAATGATATAAACATTGCTCATTTAATAATAAAAATAATGAGAGCATGGCAAATCGCGGAACAGTGCAAGGAAAAAGACTGGTAATTATACGAACAATAATTACGAACATATTTGTTTAATTTTAATTTTTTTAATTTTATTTCTAATCATAAAAGTATAACTATATTTTTTTTCAGATTTATATTTTTCACTAAAAAATCAAACGGAATTGTACTGACTTGAAACTATTAAGCATTTAGCCTAGTAATAACATATTTTGCATAGTAATGAATTACTCAACATTTTAAAATATCCTTTTCTAATTATAAATTTATTACCATTAAATGTCAATATAATTCAATATTGACGAGATATAAAAGATTACTTAAACAATATTAATTAAAAATAACTAATATTTAGCGTGGTAAGATATATAACTGTTAATTATTTAAAGAAATCAAAAATAGTATTTTTCTTATTTTATCTATTGCACAATGCTAATTTGAAATTGTATAGAATATGTACTAAATAATCTTTACACGATATGAAATAATCTTTTAAATTCAATATTGAATTATATTTATTACACTTGATATATATGTATAAATAAAATTAAATGGCTCAATACAATCCCAATAAGTACAGTATTTTAGTCTAGAATATTAAATTAAAACAAGAATTTGGTTTGGAAGTTTGCTTACTACATAGAGTTACAGTAAGAAGACTATATATTTTAATATAGAAAACTCCTTTCTTTGTGACAATCTCTGTCTTTCTTTGAATAAAGTATTAATATTACTCGTTTAAGATAATTATTTTCTTCCAAAAAGAAAAAGATGTTTTTAATGTGAGAATGTAGTTTTCATAAAAAAGTAAATTATTTGAAGCAAGAATGTTATTTAATAAATATAATAAATTTTGTTATTTTATTAAAATAAATAATAATGTTGAAATATATATTCTTTTACTTTCTATAAGAATATGATATATTTACTTATTTATAATTGAAAATAAATTGGATCTCGTTAAACTGAAAAACCATAGAGAACAATGTTATACTAAAAAGCTATACTTTAACATAAAAGATTAATTAAATCTCTTCTATAAAATGGAATATAGTTGAATTTATATCTTTATAAGACTTATAAACAATATAAGCAAGCAATTTTTTTCTATAAGATCTACTATTAATAAATTTTCTGAAATACTTTTCAAATGCTATATATTTAAAAGAATGTTATTTCAAGTGATTTTGCTGTTTGCTATGAGAAAATGAAATATTTAAAATGAGAATTGATATTTTGCTTGATTTATTGAAATTTTATTGTAATTAAATATATCATATTCTTATAGAAAGTAAAAGAATATATATTCCAATATTATTATTTATTTTAATAAAATAACAAAATTTATTATATTTATTAAATAACATTCTTGCTTCAAATTAATAATTTACTTTTTTATGAAAACTATATTCTCACATTGAAAACATCTTTTTCTTTTTAGAAGAAAATAATTATTTTAAAACGAATAATATTAATACTTTATTCAAAGAAAGACAGAGATTGTCACAACCCAGATAGCCAAATGCAATGAGGTTGTTGTCATGTTGCCAATAATTGTTGAAGCAACTAATTTTAACAAACTAGAGACAAGGTGAGACAGCATTATGTCTGTTATGTTGAACTCACATGAATTCATGTGCTAATAACAACAAATTAATTGCAACATGTCAGCATATTGCTGACATGTTGTAGACAACGTAATATCAATATTGCAGACCATTTGCTTCGTTAATTGATTGCATGTAGAAGCAGACATATAGCTGCATTCGTAACGCATTGTATCTCGATGTCAGCAAGTATACTGCAAATATATAATACATGCGATGCATTTGTTTGCTGAATATGTCATATCAAGCTTGGCTATCTGGGAAAGAAAGGAGTTTTCTATATTAAAATATATAGTCTTCTCACGCTAATTCTATGTAGTAAGCAAATTATTGTTTTAATTTAATATTCTAGACTAAAATACTGTACTTACTGGGATTCAGAATACATTTCAATTAAATTTAATGCTTGTGACAAATGATCAAACTTATGATATATTTGCGGATATACAAACTTATGATAGACTTAAAACAATTAATATTTATTCAACTAGAACTAGAGTATACATCTTCCTTTGTGTATAGATGTTTGATTTTTTTTGCTTCGTCGATGGCTTCTGAAATCTTTGTAATATCAGCAGAAGTCTACAATAATATAATCAAGTTTTAAATTAATCCAAACATTATGTATGTTTAAATATAAATTTTAGATATCAATATACTTACAGTTACACATTTTATCATGCTATCTTTTGACAAAGCAATGGATGCTTTATTATAGTTTTTCTTTGTCGCAATGTGTTTTTGTTTGACCTTTTGTGTTGAATGGATCATGTATGAAAGAAGTTGTATTGTTATATTTAATTTGGAATCTATAAGAAAAGAAAGACAAATTATTAAGTTGTAATCAAGCATATTGCGTATTGTATATATAGTGCAATATATAATAATAATATAAATATAATAAATAAATTATTGTGCGAGATATATCTAAATTTAATGTTTCTATTATATTTGAGAAATCATCATTTTTATTTGTAAGTTGTATATTTTGTTATATTATATTAAAAAACTAGTTCCATTTTTCTAAAGTTAAACAGAAATTTGTTAACTGCATTTGCTCAAAATTATGTTTGATAAGTTTATATCCATATATGGATGTTTCAAAAGCGGCCAGTCCTCAAATATGTTATTCAATTCTTTATCAGATGATTTCGTTAATAATTGAAGTCGATATTTAGAAGTTAAATGCCATTTATTCAAAACTACTTCCCATGGTGCATTTTTTTTTTTTTTTTTTTTACGCAAGAGGAGAAAATGCTTTTTACGCACATCCTGACCCCCGTAGGTCAGGATAGTGTGGGACTCGGCCTATTGAACGGCCTCTACCCACTAAAAACTCCTCTTTTTTCATCACTTTGAAATGTGATTTATGGGTTATTATCTACTAATGAACCGAAAAAATTTTTGCCTAGGAGGTGTGCTTTATATACTGAGATTAATAATTCCTACCAAATGAAAACACTTAAACTAAAAGAGTTATTGGAAAAGCAAACCTATATTTATTTAATTACTGATATTTAGTCATGTCGTAACAAAAGTTATTTAGGTATGACGGTTCCCTTTATCCTAGATACGTTTGAGAGGCAATCTTATGTTAGCTTGTAAAAGAATACTTTATTATCACACATATAAACATATTCCCAATAAGCAAAATGTAAGCAGTATGTCGACAGACTGGCAACAGATTTGATCAAACCATGTCAGCAGAATGACATCTACTGCGTCCTCATTCTGCTTCTAATCTGCTAGCAGAACCTGCTCACAGAATCGGATATCAGATTGTCGGCAGAAATCGAGCAGGATCTGCGCATGCAATTTGATGTTAGATTGTCAGCAGAAACCGAGCAGAATCTGCGCATGATAACAAATTGATAGCAGAAACTTCACAAGATTTGCGCTTACTTTTATTAATGTTATATAAATGCAACACAATTGATTATTACAGGTGCTAAATAACAATATTATTGGCAAGTTAATTAGAATTTTCTTAGAAAATGACATATATGTAATATGTTATATCGTAGATATATCTCATATAGCGAAGAACTAATTCAATTTAATTAAATTAATAATAAAGTAAATGATAAAAGTAAATGTAACTTGTAAAACTTGAGATGAATTGACTTGAGACTAATTTATTATATTTAGAATTAAATTCTTGCTTTATGCCTCAAATAGGCAGTACATGAATAATTTTTCATTTATCATATTGATTTCAATCAGTTTAATATTCTGACTCTCATTTGCTTGTATCAGATATCAGAAATTAAAGTGATAGAAATTAAAATAATTACTACATTTTTAGTCTTTTATTCATATTCGCGACTTTATATATATTTCTGACAGAAATTCAATTACGAGAAAGTACAGCTCGCGTAGCGGTAAGTGAAGGAATTATCGAATCATGCAAACCCTGTTCCGTTTCTGCCATCAATCTGCTATCAGAGATTGTATGCGCAGATCCTGCTCGATTTTTGCCGACAATCTGTTGTCAAATTGCATCGCACAGATCCTGTTCAATTTCTGCCACCAATTTGCCACTAAGTTATGCCGGCAGAATCTGTTCGATTTTTGCTGCCAATCTGGTAACTGATTATGTTAACAAGCTTTATTATATTTCTGTTGACATTCTGCTGACATCACATGATATATCAGAACCTGCATCGATTCTGTAATCTTTCTGTAGACAACAATTTGTAACAGATTCCCTGACAAGATCTGCTTTAGCAGACTTGGCTATTGGGGTTGTTTTGATTATACATAATATAATGATAGAATAGATTAATTTAGATGTATCTAAAGTTACGTATATATAACTCATAATGCAATACAATAACTCTCAATGCAACAAAAAATTTTAGCAAATCATTTAGATTCTTTGGTGTTACGAAATAATGTAAAGTCATCACTGTTAACGTGGTGTTATTTTTAGCCGATGTCCGTTCGCATTTACTAGTACTAATTCCGATTTGAAACGTAATTGATCTTGTGTATCGGAAGCCTCCACGCGGAAAGCTTTTAGCACAGATAATACGGCCACTTTGATGACCGATGTGGCAAATCTTGAGCCGATACAATTTCGTGAACCAGCGCTGAAAGGGATGAAGCTGTAAGGAGGTAATTTTGGACTATTCGGTAAGAACCGCTCTGGACGATAAATATGCGGATCGGGAAAGAAACGCGAATCTCGATGCAGCAAATAAGAATTGATGAGAACTGTGGAACCTGGTGGTATTTCGTTACCCACTAGAAACATAAAAATATAGATAAGAAAAAAATCCTCGTTTACATTACACAATTCTTAATTACATTTGTAATATTAGGAAATACATCTTAAAATCTGTTGCTTAACAATTGTTCAACAAAAATATACTCTACAAATGTTTATTATTTATATCAACTGATAATGTTATATATCTATGATTATAACATTAAGAGATATGAAATAATAATGCAGTAATATTATCAAGTAAATAATATTTTGTTAGAAGTCTCGTGAAGAGGGATATATCGATTTTTCGAAAAATAAAATTGAAAGATATTTACTCAAATTGATCGGTTTGTAGATCTGTCTCGCTATGAGCGGTGCTACCGGATATATTCTCCATTGTTCTTTAATACAGGCGTCCAGCCATGTTAATTTGTGGATATTTTGTAACGTGACTTCTGTTGTGCCTAATGTATTATAATATTCGTCCAAGATCTTTTCCTAAGAGAAAGCAGGAGAGAATGTTAAGTTAATGTTAACAATATGAGAGAAAAGTACATGTATCTATTAATTATAATTAAATCTTCTTAAAATATATCAAATATCAATTTTTCTAAGTTTATTTAGATGAAAAATCTCACTCTTTCTCTCAAAGAAATATTGTAAATGTCGAAGATTCATTAAATTTCAATGAGAATTGCTAAAATTAAATGTTAATGCAATAGTACCTGATATTCGGGATGTCGTCCCAACGCATAAAGCGTCCAAGATATGCTCGTAGCCATTGTGTCATGTCCGGCATACATAAAAGTATTTACTTCATCACGAATATCCGCATCTGAAAGATGCACAGTTCCATTCTTCGATATGTCGAGCAGTAAGTCCAATAGAACCTGTTTTTTATTTAGCGGTTTATTAAGGCTCCCATCATGTTTCTGTTGCCATTCGATCTTTTTCTGTGCGATTACCTATGAATGAAACATTCCGTATATACGTCGAAAGCGAAAATACTACATATCAATTTTTTAACTTTTTATCTCTATAATTATACTCGAAAAGTCTCGATATCAAATTGCACTAAAAAGAGAAAGAGATTCTTTTTTTTTAGATATAGTATTATCTAAGATTGGAATTGAAACCGTAATTTAATTTTCGAAATTTAGTGTTCAATTTCATTCCAAAATTGTATTAAAATTGCAATAATAATAAAAAAAATAGTTAGTTTGATGAAATTTAAATATGAAAATCGCAATATTATGTTAACTAAATCATCCCGATTCATAATTTTAGCTTCGCTCCGTGAAATCTCGTGAATTTTCACACTAACAAATGACTATAAAAACTCTAATCATTCGTATTTATTTAATTTAAGGTTTTCATTACTTTGTCAACAAGATCTTGAATGATCCGAAGTGCGTGATCATGCTCCTTTCCTGCTTTAGTTAATTTGAAAATTTTATCATTAGATACCCATACGTTTGTAAAACGCATTTGTACAATAGATGCAATTCTGAAAATTAAAAAGAGAGATTTTTTTAACATAACTTCATTATGTGACTTCAACATCGTATGTTGTATAAAATGCGAAAAGAAATCTATGTAAAAATCTATCTATATATATTTCAGGCAAAAGACACTTACTTGTCCACAGCTTCTACATATTCATTTTTGGAATTTATTTGAGCATTTAGTTTATAGCCCATTGCAGATTCTGAAATAAAATAAGTTTATTTTATTTTAAATAAAAAATTATTTTTACCAGAGTTTGTTGAATAAGTTAATTTGTACTACGTTGTTGCATTGAAAAAAATTAATATATTTTTCTTTAATAAAACTAACAATAAATATATATATAAAAAAAAATAAATAATGGTAATAAAAAGAACATATAAAATATATAAAATATATAAAATATAATGAAAAATATATCAATTTAATACAAAAAATGATACTTTTAATTAGAAATAATTGTTTATTTGTAAATCGCAAATTAATTAATTATATATGTGTAATTAAAACAATTTTAAATTTATTAACTATCGGATCAAATTAGCAGTTATATTAACTCACGGCATATAATGTCGAGAGTGGCGCGTTTTAAATAGGGTACCACGTCGAATTTGTTACTTTCTTTTTCGAGACAAGAAATTAAAACATTCGTCTCTTCTTTTGCAATCTTAAAATATGTTGCGAGAAGACCGCTGTGGAACGTCGGCGTCAGTAATTTCCTGCGAAACTGCCATGTTTCACCTGAAAAGGGAATATAATATTAGTTAATTTTACATTTCGATGATATTCAACATAATATATATTATTGCATATCAAAAAATACGATTGTGCAAGAACATACATGGCCTCATTCTGTTTGAATAAGCTAAATTTAGCTAAATAAGCTAGATATATGATGTGTTTTTAAGATTTTCTTCTATTTAAATTTCAATAGACACTTTTGAAATTTAAATAGAAGAAGATCTTAAAAACACATTGTGTATCTAGCTAAATTTAGCTTGTTCAAACAGAATGAGGCCAGATGTGATATCCGACAAAAAATATTCGTCGTCGAAATATGACTTTAACCAATCGTTAATCACTTACCATTGCTGGTCACCAGGCCAGTACCAAGCCATGGCTTCAAGTATGTATATTCCAAACTTTTATCATTGTGCATACTGCTACCAAGCACTAATTGCACTGCTTCCACTTTATAGAGGAAGATAAAAGGTCGCAGACCGACCCAGATCAAATAAATGCTCCCAAACTCTTCAGCCCATCTAATCAAATTCTGAAAAAATTCTGTAAAAAAAGAGACAAATTGAATTTTAAAATCGCTAAAATTTCTAAGAAATTATTTTGTTAATTTTTTAATGTTTCTCGATTTATTTATTATGATAGGCAATTATACAACGGAATGTTGATATTTTGTTGTATAATTGTTTAACTCTTTAACATAAAGTTAAACAAAAATATCAACATTCCGTTGTGTAATTATTAATATATATATGGTTATCGATCTCGCACGAACTATTGCTAGGCATAGATCTTTTGCGATTATAATTAAAATAATCATTGTTTACGACTTTCCTCTGTTTCCATCAATGCACTTTAAATTTATTCTCAGTGTAAAAAAAAATAAATACAGTTTTTTTATATTTTTTGCACATTCAAGTTATTATTACTTTCGATACACGTAAAAATATAAAGAAATTATATATTAAATTAATAAGATTAATCACACACAATACATTAATTTTATATTGGTATAACAAAGAATTTTTATAATTAACTGTCTAATTTACACAGAGCAGAGGATTTGATCTCGTATACTTTTATCATTTTTAATCGTATGTATAACTTCAGGATGTCGGTTTATCAAGACTTTCATTTTATTTCTAGATTTTTAGGCTGGGTCAGATCTTTAAATTATTATGCTACATACATTAGAAAAGTATATTTATTATTTCTAAATTACATCTATATATAATTTTTAGACAAAAAGTTTTTTGTCATTTTTAAGACAAAAAGTATTGATATATGATTGTTCGAAAAAACGAAAATATGTAAGACACATTTACATTGGATTAATCCTGCAACGATTTTTTAAATTTCTTATTGAATAATCAAGCATTTTAATAAAAAATTTGAATTATTATTCTTTTTTAACAGAACATTATGTATATTACGTAGAATGAGACAAAAAGACTTTTTTTATTTGTGTTTCAAAAAGTTACCTTTCAAAACATGATTATTTTTAAGATACATATTTTCAAAAATGAATAGTCGAAAATCCTTAAGAAGTTTCGTAGATAATTTTACGGCGTTATATTTCACGAGAATAAGTCTATAATGTGTATGTCATTCGTATCCGAATCTACGACGTTTTTACGAAGAGATTAGCTTCAGTTACAATCAATTATTCTCGCGGTCACTAACTCGCGTCGCGAATTCAGAAATAGACATTATCGTAGCTCTAGATCCACTCTATATGATGCAAATTATTGATTGCACACGAAATTTGTTGATGCAAATTACGATTTGTATCAGAGCTAGAATAAAACTGTTAATAATAAAATAAAAGGATGAAAAATATAACGTAATATGATGGAAGAATAGTAAAAAATAATTTAATTTTATCAAATATATTTTTTAAAAGATAAAAGTTAAATTACAAAATATGAATGTATAGAGATATAATACGATGATAATATGGAACGGATATAATTTTAGTATCTGAAGCAAATCTGATTTAAATTTCTAGACTAAGAAGGGAGAAAGAAAAAAATAAATATTGTTTATCAAAAGCAATACGTATAAATAATTTAAGATAAGATAGAGAGCTATTATAAAATAGAAAGCTTAAAAAAATATTTAAAATTCTTTCTTTTAATTTCTCTTTATGTTTTAAACAATTCAATTATAAATTTTTTTAACATTGCATATAAAAATTTCATTTTTTGATTAAAATTTATATGTAGTTTATTTCAACGAAATGAAGAGAAATAATAAATTATTTATATTTTTTGAATGATACATTGAAAAAAAGATCGATGTAGAAATAGATAAACTGAAAAAAAGAACGAGAAAAAAAGAGAGATAGGGAATTAAGAAAGAGTACGGCACAACGGAGAAAGAGAGAAATCGCACGTGCAGTGAGTTGACGACCGAGACTGACTACTGGACATTGACCGGTCGAACATAAACAGCATATATTTGCAGTGCACACGGATGATGAGGGAATGTAAAGAACAAGACAGAGACAGAAATCAAGAGAAAGGAAGAGAAAGAATGAGATAGAGAGAGAAAGAAAAAGAGATACTGCTCTGAAAAGAATGAGAAAGACTTCGCTGTCAGAGACCTTGACAGGCATGCAACAAGACGCTAAGCATCCTTCGGACAGTAGTGGGCCTTCGATGACCTATTTTAGGCCGGGAGCTGGCCTATTCCCCGCTTTCCCGTAGAGGATGCGTCATAAGTTTGAATAATGAATAAATTTGACATAACGCTCAAAATGTATTATGCATAAAAGAGGGACCGGTTCTGCGTGACAATTCGAAATGATATTTTTTTTTGATACAAAGAAACATATAGAATCGTATTTATATTTCGTTTATTGTCGACATTTATCGATATTTACTTTAATGAATATCCAATATATTGCAAACTAAGATTTGTTCTAAAAAAGAATTTTTGCGTATTAAAAAATTGAATTTATAAGTAAATGTTTTCAAATGGAAAACAATAAATGGCAATATCTTTTTTAATCTTTTCATTATTTCTTATTTATTTTATTTTCTTATTTATTTCTTATTTATTTTATTTTATTTTAAAGATCTTTTATTCTACTCTTTCTTTCTGTTTTTTATTATTATGTCTTTTGCCTATATAAAACTATTTTGTATTAGACATTAGCATGTAGAGATTAAAGAGTTTAACTCTTGACAATTTTTTCATCACACACACACACAGTCTGATGTAAATTTTCCTAGATATTGCTTATAAAATAAGGAAGAAGAAAGAGCGGCCATAAATTTTGATTGAAGTCGAAATTTTTTGAAAGCACATAATAAGCGAAAATAAAATCAAATAGAAAAAAATATCGATTAACAATATTTGCAATAGAGTATCGTTGTAGGCTAAGATTTTATCTTTAAATACATCGATATACATTCTTTTTCTTGTTTTACAAAACAATAGGGATCAATGACGGTTTTAGCAATGCATATTCGTGTTGCCACTATACACGTTAATTACACGTCTCTCCTTTTGTGCTGGTCGGTCTGATTAATTGACATATGTGTCATAACGCGTACGTAGCATCAAATTAAATTCTATTCTCTTCTCGCGATCGACGTCTGGTTGAAATCTGATCCAGAGTCGTTCTCCGATCGCGAAGAATCTCAGATACAGGAGGCTTTTTTTATGAAACTTTGTCCTGTGTGCGTGGATGCTTTTTTTATTCTCTCCCCGAAACGAGAGGAGCGTACATAACACTGTTGCCCGTATAAACTTGCGTGTAATAATACTCAGACCGCCCAAACGATCTCGACTCGGTTTGTTTTATTTTTTCTCTTCCTTACAATTTCGTTTCTTGACACGTGCAGGATGGCCGACGTTTATTATTAATGAATAGCGCGAATCATTCTTTTTTTCTTTATTATTTTCTCCCATCGCGTGGGTGTCTCTATGCGCGAAAGTTATGCGAGATTATTTGTCTCTTATTATAATAATCAATTTGTGTAATTAACAGAATAAATATAATAAAATCTGAATTTTTTAAGAATTGAACGTTCAGAGAACAGATACTTTTAAAAAAGAACAAATACTGTTTTATAGTCAATATCAAACTGTTATATAATAATTTAAACAAAATTACACTATGTTTTATATGCTTGATTGATTTTTTCAATTTTTTCGGTCTGTTATGAAAGGAACGGTCTTCATGATTTATTATGGAAGAAAATGATTTCATTTTGCATAAACAATACTAATTGAAATAAAATCAAAACGTATGAGAAGCTCATTTAATTCTTATTATGATGTAAGGAATTTTTATAATATTCTCGAATAAACACTGTTACATTTTCCATAAATCTTTTTTCGAAGTTTTGCAATTAACAATTCCATATTTTTTCTTAAAAACAACTGTATGTTTTCTTTACACTAATTTATTCCTCTCATTATTTTGTACATAAAAGTATGAAGGTAAGATAATCGAAAAATGAATGGTTTACTAGATATTTTATGATTTATGTAAAATTAAGAAATTATTTCAAGCCTTATAACTCAAAAAGTACTTAATGAAAAGGTTAATTATAGTGTTTTGGAAAGCTTTCGAGATAAGCTATAAGAATATGCAATGAAAAATAGGAGGTTCCATTTAAGAAATTGAAGGTAACCTTTATGTGACCTTCAAATGACTATCGAAGGTCAAATTTTTGCCACCCATCTTCTGTCCCCCTCAAAGTCAAGCAACTTTTATTTGAAACATTTTTAAATTATCTTGAAGATCGCCAGTAAATAAATAAAAGAGGTAGTTGAAATCGATCAGCACTGGCAATATTTATTGAGTTAAAAAATCACAATCACGACGTTTCGACCATAGGTTTTGGTCCTTTTCGAGTGAACTACAAAAAAAATATTATTTCCAATAATACAACAACAAGAAAAATTAATGATACTAAATTACATAGATGTTCGAGTAAGATTTGAGCAACAAGTTATATATACATACAGTAATTAAATTAACAGTTCTATCGTGAGAAATAAGAAATCACTTCGTCAAGATTATCATGTCACTGTCTACATTAACACACAGAGAGAGACTAGACAACTTTTATTATCCTATCATAAGTATTGTTTAAATTTTCAGTGTCCTTTTGTAAGTTAATCGTGTTGTCAAAAGTTTGACAACACGATTAACTTACAAAAGGACACTGAAAATTTAAACGATACTTATGATAGAATAATAAAAGTTGTCTAGTCTCTCTCTGTGTGTTAATGTAGACAGTGACATGATAATCTTGACGAAGTGATTTCTTATTTCTCACGATAGAACTGTTAATTTAATTACTGTATGTATATATAACTTGTTGCTCAAATCTTACTCGAACATCTATGTAATTTAGTATCATTAATTTTTTCACTCGAAAAGGACCAAAACCTATGGTCGAAACGTCGTGATTGTGATTTTTTAACTCAATAAATATTGCCAGTGCTGATCGATTTCAACTACCTTTTTTTTTTTTTTTTGAAACATTTTGTTGTACATTCAAATATAAAAAAGTTATTGGGGTGAATAAATTAAAATGGCTTACCCTGTATATATATATATATATATATATATATATATATATATATATTTTATTGAAGTCGCAGATTGTGTATATATATATATATATATATACACACACAATCTGCGACCTCAATAAAATTTACATGCATTAATTATCTTTTCTCTTCCTTTGATTAATAATATAAATATTATTCTAGTTATATAAGCTTTTCGTAACAATATCTTTTTTATGCGACATATGAACGACCGAAAAAAAGATTATATATTATATTCAATATTAAGGAATATCGGATTTACATTCATTTTTAGCAAAGTTGTTAATATCATTCGTCCTCTTATCAGTAATAATAGCCATACATAACGAATTATGATGTTATCATGCATGAAAAATGTAAGATATACATAATTGTCACTGCGATATTGCTATGTTTTTTAATATACCGAAATCACAAAAGCTTACCTTCTGACGAACAGTTGAGTTGATAAGCATTACCGATGATGGGCAGTGCTATGGGATAGGGTATCTTCCTCAAGGCGTACAAAAATCTTCCTCGTTTTATCAATAAAACTAACAGAAGTAATAGCGGACAGACAGAGAGGATCATCCAAAATCCTCCTGCCATAAGAATTGATTCTACAATCATGTTAGTGCTGTGATCGATTGTCTTCTGGCAGTGCTTACTCGATATAGGCTTCTTTTTCAGGAAGAGGCGAAACAAAATTTTTCAAATTTCTTCGTTAGACTTTAAGAAAGATCTAACACTTTTTCTTTCCAAGATCTCTTTAGAAAAGATAAGAATTATGTCGATAAAATCAATTCTGGACTTTAAATTTTTACAGTACTCTTAATTTTTACAGTAAGATCTTTTCCGTAGCGAGCGATTGCGAAAATCGAGTTGAGAGATCCGATCTTAATACGAACACTAGTATTCTGCTGGGAAAAATGCGATCTTAGGTGTAAATATATCTTAAAAGAAACGAAAGGTGACGATCTCGCGCAAAGTCGAGAAAAAAAGAGAAAAAAAGAGAGAAGCGTCACAAGAGCTTCAAAAAAGAAAAAGAATCTCGCCTCGCTGGTTGCGAATCTCGAATCGCTGATTTCTCAATTGCGAATGAATCGAATGGATTACCAAGAATAATATTACCGCGTTATAAAAACGTGTCACTCGGTGGCTACTCTCTCCGGTTATAATACATCGTACGAAAGAGCTGCCCTTATATATACTACTGGAATGTTTGGTACCACCAATAGAGTAGGGAACACGTGGAACATATATTTGTGTATACATGTGAGAGAAAAAGTTATATTCATACACATATATATCTCCGATTGTATACGTTTATATGTGTGCGCGCATGTGTAAATGGAGTCGCAAAAATACAGAAGCGAATACCCCTCCGAGGTCGCCGCTCGCCCTCCCTATCGCTCATCAACACGTAGCCTCAGTCAGGTTCACCTCTCAAGACAAGAATTTCCACATGATAGAAAGAGGAGAAGCGACTCCCGCCAACGTTACCGTCGATAACAGTGTGATAATTTGCATTATATGCGATATTCACTGTCAGAGATTTTGCGAAGAGAGAGTATTGCATTCCGTATCGATACATCGGAGATGATGGGATAACGTGACGGAGGAAAAGAGATTTCTTTTGCTCTATTTTGAAAAAGATCAATTTATATCAAATATGTAATGTTTAGTAATAATGAAATGTTCAGTAAAATGAAATTTTTTCGTAATAGTAACACGTATATAAGTCTGTATATCTGTAAATCTGTCATTCGCAAATATTGCAGCTTTCATGCGACATGATTTTCTTTTTTTATCATATAGAGATGTCTGTTTCGCGAAACAAACCATCAATAGTATGCAGTTTTAATAGCATCATGAAATGCAACAAAAACAATAATTGTATTTTTATTAAAAAATGTAGAAAATTATATTGAGAAAAATAAAATTGTTAAGTTTCTGTTAGATTTGATATTTACCACGCATTATCCATTTTTTATAATGTTTGAAACACTACATCTCTTATATAATGTTTGAAAATAATACTTGCATCATTTTCTGAAAACTTTTCTTACTAAAATAAAAAAGTTATCAATCAGAGACCAAAATAATTTGGTATATTTGGCACACAAGTATGTTCACGGAATTAGGAAGATATGTCATAATTGCGAAACTCGAAAGTAAATGTTTCCATGTCACATTTGCGTTGTGTTGTATACATGTGGTATTTATATCTTATAAAATTTAGGTCAATATAATTTTTTACTTTACATGAAAAAATTTATATGCGTTATAATTTTACTAGAAAGAGGAAAACAAGATACACATTCTAATTAATCTTTAATTAGTATTTAATTAATTTTTATATTTATTACAAGATAATTAAAACAATAATAATTTATTATAATCTGAGGCAAAATAACGTTGCTATTATAATCTGCAACAAAAAACGTTCTCCACATGCGGTATTATTTCATCATGTCTCGAATATTTATTTGTTGACTTATCTTAATCCTTTTATTTCATTGCGACAAATAATTAAATAATTATTTAATGATACACATATGTTTGTTTTATCACATATATAAATAGTAAGATTCTTGCACGTGGATTATTATTTTGTTATTTTCTTTCTGATTCATATTATGATTTGCCTAACAGCAAAGCATTTGGGCACAAATTTAAATAATCAGATATAAAAGAAAGATTAAAAAATTGACAATTAGTTATAAAGGGCTTGTAGAGCAAGAAAACAAGTATATTACAAAAGTTTAATTCTGTCAAGATGTACATCAAAATAAGTCTATGTCGACGGTGACATTACAATAATACCGAAACGAGCAAAACATAAGTACGTTATTAAAAGCGAACGTTTCGATCGATTTTTCGATCCTCTTCAGCGCAATAATATAATGATAAATAAACACGAGTGAAAATTAACGGAATAATGAGTTAAAATTATGATCTAATGAAACGCATTAAATGTGGTTGTCTGATAACGGCGCAATAAAATAATCGTCAATAAATACGAATGAAAGCTAACAGAATTATAATTCTGTGATTCTGTAATTATTCTATGATTAATTATGTTTCAAAACACAAATATTTTTAATTGCAGAACTTATATGTAATATATATAATATATAATTAATAATAGAATAATTATTTTTATTATTAATAAATAATAAAGAGAACTTAGATAGATAGATTGCCACATTACATTTGTGACGCACACGTTCCTGAGCGCTCCATAGTTACGAGCGACGTGAGCGGTAAGAGGGAAACAGTAGGCGTAAGCTAAGAAATCTGACTAAAAGTTGCAAGTAAATCCCAGTGGCTAAAGCAGGCCACGCAGAGCACGCGGGGAGGAGAATGTGCCTTTTCGTGCGGCTATCTTCCCGTCTCTTCTCTCTGGCCGATCGATATAGGACTCGAATAATTTTTTACGAAATATATCGCTTTATGAAAACTGTTCCTAATTAAATATAAATCTAAATATGTTTTACAATTACGTATTTTTAAACTGTAATATATAAAAAATAATTAATTAATTAAAATAATTAACATCGTCATAACATCAACGCTCGACTCGTATTGCTATTGAAACTAATTTGTTAATTTTATATTTCGAGTTTTATACCTTTATTATTTGTAAAATAATTAATTTTTTAAATAACAAAAAATATTTACATAATATCAGTTTTCTCTTTTTTATGTCCTTTTTCTAATTACTACATGTAAATATATTTTTTAAATTTTACTATAAATAATATCTCTAATCATAATATTTTACATTATATGATTTAATTTTGCTATCGAATACAATCTATTAACTTTAAGTTAAATTAAAACATTAATTAACATAAATTAAAATATTAATTTGAGATTAGAACGAAACGAATAGGCATAAGGCGATAAGGCAATCATCGTCGATGACATCATATATAATGTTATTCGATATACTTACGAGCGAAGGAGAACGTCATTGGGAGTTTTGATGGGGTCGATTTATTGTCTGGTGAGTTGATCTACATGAAAGTGAATAAGATGCCGAAGACATAGTCGAGAGATAAAAAATATCTTTACAAATGAAGATTTGAGAATTGATTTGAATGAGAATTGTTCACAGAGACGCCGCACAATGTCAAGAAGCTTTCGTAAAAAAAAAAAAACACAAGTGTAAGTGGAGGACATCTATGGAAAGATAAGAAGCTCTATATATGCGAAATGTAAATTTAGAATTAAAGATTAAAAGATGGTCTCATTTAGTGATAAATTTAATTGAGGTGTATAATGTACATATCCTAATTATATGTGTTCCAATGTGAATATAAAAATCGTTGAATATAGACATAATGTTGTACTTTTGTATTTCAATTGAAATCGAATTCAAAGATAAAAGAGAAGATAAATGAAAAAACATGTCGAGATCATTAAATTGAAGTTATTTATAACGCAGAAGAATCAGTGTTAAGTAACGTTACTGATAAATATATATAGTATTAAACAAGGATACTTATATTTCCACCAAGTAAATAATTAAACGATTGCATAAATATAACAAGTGTGTCGTTGCTATAAAATGCAAAAGAATAATTTCAAGATACAAATCTTTCCATATCTAATCTTTTTTTATTAAAATATTTAGAAACAATTTTTATTTCAAAAAATTTTACTATAAAATCTCATAATATTAATTTTTTATATCACTGTATACTTCATAAATTGATATTTTATTGCATTATTGGATTAATAAGGATATAATGGAATAATAAGGTTTTGGGATTTTTTATCCGCAGTTCAAAACAATATGTCATTGTAATTTTCAATAATTCGAATTGACGCATTGCTATAATTTTTCTAATTAGATTCTTCAAATGCTAATACATACTGCATACATAGATAAGCGATGATATAAAAAAAGATATAAAAGCAATAATGTTAAATAACATTGACAACTACATCTTGTACTTTGTTATAACAAATATTTCAAGCGACATAGTTGCAACGATATCGCCAATGTGATGAAAATAAATGATAGAATTATTTTATTATATTTTTCATATACGTATGGCGGAGTTGAAAAAATATACTAAAACATATTTACATAGAATTCTAAGTTGTAGGATGCGAGATGTACTGTCTTTATTTTAAATTGATAGCGCGATATTTGTCTCGAGGGAAGCAGGAAAAATTCTATATGCGTAGATGTCATGTATAATTAATTACCGTATTATATTCATGTTCTTCTGAAAAAAATAAAGACGCTAGTGCCCGATGAACAAGTCAAAGTATAAACAACGGAACTTTTATTTACATGATAAAATTTGTAAATTTTGTAGAAAAATTTTACCATTAAATCGCGTATTATGAAATTCTTTTACTTGATTAAAATTATATATATATATATATATATATATATATATATATATATATACAATATACATATATATGTGTGTGTGTGTCTCTTGCTGAATTAATAAAAAAAAGCAATTTCGCATTATTTTGATTTTGTATTTTGTATATTCACTTCTATAAAGACTCTATATTTACAGCTAGACAATATTAGAGACACAATATTAGAAAATAACAGATTAAAAATATGTAGAAATTTAAGATATTAATGGAATGATTCACTTAATTGATATAACAGGAAAATATGATTCTTCCGTAACTTTATTGCGATGAACGGATGCTTATATGAAAAGATCTGCGATTTCGCAAAATGGATAAAATAATCGAATCAAGAAAATAATCTCTCTATTTCTTTTTTTTTTATCGTCAATGTTTTAATAAAACATCGTTGCCAAACAATTCATTAGTATTATTTTGTTGGCATGCATAATTAATCAATCTAATTCAAAAACCAGTTTATCAAAATCAATTTTTTAAAATAAAAGTAATCAAGGCTCTACTTATACAAAATTACAATTAGTTATAAAGGACTTGTAGGGCAAGAAAACAAGTATATTACAAAAGTTTAATTATGTCAAGATGTACATCAAAGTAAGTCTGTGTCGACGGTGACATTACAATAATACCGAAACGAGCAAAACATAAGTACGTTATTAAAGGCGAACGTTTCGATCGATTTTTCGATCCTCTTCAGCGCAATAATATCGATGCATTTAATAAATATCTGTAATTATATCACCAAATTCTGACAGAATAATAAATATATATAAATTAAAATGAGAGT